TATTTTTTCCATTGTAAAATGATCTCTTCTCAAATGCTCTAACACAAGGAGAAGATCCTAAAAATCCTGCCAGAGCCCTTACTGCTCAAAGTCACTATAAGAGAACACGGTTTACACTCTACTGCAAAAACCAAGGACAAAGCCTTTGATCTCCCATCTTTTCTCGTGGCCCGCTGTAGTCTCTGCCAGGTATAATCTTCAGTACTGAAGATCTCAGGATTATTGCACCACTCTGAGGAAGCTTTGATGGTTTTGGATGTATGAGGAGCAGATTTTCTGGACTCAAATCTATTATGTGGTTGCTTGCAATTATATGGACTTGGACTCAGCAACCCTGATTGTGCCTTCCTATAGAAAGCCTGCAGCCTGCCTCCAAAGGTAGCAAGCACCACCGGCCAGATTCTCCCTGGGTGCAAATCCATGCGGCGTCTCAGACCTTACGCTGCCAGTGACTCTACTCTTCACACGTGGCAGCAAGAACGAGAGAGCAATGCACTTGCTCATGAGCGCTGTGATTAAGAGGTACAAAAGCAAGTCCCTCCTGTGTTCTTTGTATCTGGGAGGGCTTTAAAAATCCCCCTCAATTACATTCCTGAAATAACGCTGCTAGAAACCTGTTAGGCGGTCTTCTTTAGAGAGGGTTCAGATTCTCTCCAGTGACTCCTCCAGTGCTAGGACACTTGCCTCTTAAAGATCTGAGTGGGGAGAGAGAGGTCTAACTTTAAATTAAAGTGTACCTGTAAATTTAAATTTAAGGGCATGTTCAACTGTATAAGACAGATGTAAACGTAAGTATTAATGACAAGCTTTCAGAAGTGGTGAATCAAATTTGCTTTTGCTTATAGCTTTGCAGATCGGGAGTGACTCCACTGAGATCAGTAGGTTACGCTGTGCACGGTCCATGGCTTTAAATAATCCTTTGCACCTGAGTGACGATTCTGGTTCAGAAACAATTTCAAAGACAGGTGAAGACCTGTGCATATTATTGCAGAGCGTAAACATTGTTCCAATGAGATTCAATTGCCAAGCTGCAGAGATTATACATTAGTGTGTTAGTAACTTGAGAAAAGGTTCTCTATGGCGTACACTGTTGAGTTAAGCAATGCGGCCAAATCAGTCTCTGGGCATCCCGTGGGATATTATGCTGCAGTTGCTTTCGATACCTCTTTGTCATCTACTTCCACTACAACATTACATTCCATTTACAGGCTCTAACCTAACAGATGATAACTTTGAGCCTCTAAGTTTAGGATTAAGAAATGCATGTATGGATCTCATCTGACAGCACGTGTTTGGGATCTAACAAACCTCACCCTTGGGCTTCTCCTGAGCCGTCTTAATCTCTGCCTTTCTCATGTGGATGCTGTATCAAGACCTCTCTGAACTTGGCAAAAGCCAAATACTTTCCTGATGCTTTGCCAAGTGATCAGCTAAGTCTTTTCACTTCCTGCTGAGCAGGAATGCCACGGGAAGGGCAGCGGCCATGTGGTGACAGGGCGCAAGAACATCGCAAGAAACAGCGGTGCTCATCTGGCCAGGCAGAATTAGTGCAACTAAAAGCAATCCCATCCAAAAGCCGGATCTGTGCACCACGGCATCGGTACACTCAGAGCTGATGGATGCTGAGAAGGAGGCAGAGGCGGCATTTCACATGTTCCCTAGCCTGAACTGCAAAATTCACTCTCAGCAATAAAATTCCACCAGGACAGCGCCTCAGGAGGACAACAGCTTACAGTGACAGTCCGTAACACGGAGCCTCTGCTTCCAAATGCTCACTCGGTGCCCTCCTTTTGCCTGGCCAGCACTTAGTTTTGAAGCCTGTCACAGCTGAATGCAGCAATGAGAGCCGCCTCTCAATTTGCCAAGACTACAGCTTTCAGCTGCCCACCATATATACTCTGGCCTTCGTAACCAAACAAAGGAGTACCAGCTATTCACTGAGTAAACCAAGGGGTTTATAAAAAAGGCATTAGACACGGCTACTCAAACAGCCCTCATCATCTAGACTGCTGTCATCTACTTCCTAATAAGCAGACAATTTTGTCAGGAAATTCTAAAATTCGGCACTGAGCACCTGAAAAGAATTTCCTATTCAAAACAGACAATAAAATGCAAAATGGAGCTATATTTTAAGATGGCTGGGTATGTTTTTGTGCGTTAGCACAAATGCCTCCGGAGAGGAAATTTTGCACATGCAGTACATTATTAATCATTTTCATAGCAATACTTTTTAGGACAAGAAAAAAATACATGAGGATTAACAGATTTTGAGGTTCATAAAAGACAATTTGATCCTTGATGACTTGGTTTTGTGTGCGGTATGTCCCTGAGGACTTATTCTGACAGTAATTCTGCACTGAGCTCCATATTTCTATTTGATTAAAATACGTCTTCCAGAAAGGCACTTGCAGTCCTTACTCAGACGTCTGGAGAAATGGAAACTTCACCACTTCTTCCGCTAGCTTGTCACCCACACTGCTGAGAAATGTGTATCTTGTGTACACAAACGGGAAACATCAGTATTCCGGACTCCTGCATCGTCCCTTTCTAATTCTGATTGATCACAGTTGTCATACGCTCCAGACCCAACTCCACCAGGCATCGAGTGCTGTGTCAATTCTCGCGGGTGTGCAGAAGAGACTCGGTGCGTTGCAAGAGCAGAGCGTCGGAGGGGAGAAGTGCCTCTTGCTCGGAGAACAGGCTTTGCTCTGCTGCAGAACGACTTCAGGCAGCAAACTACTTTTTAAGAGTTTAATAGGACTAAGTTCCCACGGATACATGTGAGTATCCTGCATGTTTAAGAAAACAAGTGTCTCGCTGACTCACTAATGCTTAGTGTCGCTTAATTAGATGTTCTTCTACTGGAAGGAAAAAAGGGAAGTTGAAATTAGGTATTTACTAAACAGATTAAGTAATTCTCTGTTTAGAAGAATGTATCACTCTGCTTATCTCTATCATCTCGTTGATCACCCAAAACAAATCAGGTAACGTGGCAGACAACACAGTATCTATTCCGTTCTCTTTTGGCCCTCTGTCCTGGCCCTTAAATGAAGACAGCGAACAAAACAGCGCAGAGCACAGCTTCAAAACAAAAAGGAGACAAGACTAAAAGTTGCGTGCAACCTAATTCTCAGCGATGATCTATTTACGCCAAATCCGGGTCTTACTTGAAGTCTGTGGCAGTCAATCCCCTTGACTGCCATGCAGGCAGGATTTGGCCCCGGTAAAGTATCCGCCTGCATTCCCAGCTGCTCGGTTCAGCTGCCGCAGAGGAATGCAGGGCCGGCGAGGGCGCTGGCATGGGATGGAGTCCGAACTTCCAGTGCAAAAAAAAATCTCCACCTCAGTGCCTGGATCTAAACTTTGTCAGTGCGATGGCTGAATCTGATAAAGCAAATCCCTGCCTGACAATAATTCAATTTAGATTCCTCTCCCTCACCAGCATTCAAACCATGTTCGAACCAGCTACTTTACTGAATATAGCTTTAAGCATTTGGACAGCTTTGGAAAGAGACACGGACATTGATGAGCAGTACTGGGAAGGAAAGCAGAGTTGTGTGTGTGTGTGTGTGTGTGTGTGTGTTAACTTTACAGCAAATCACAACCGAGTATTCAAAACAGTATTTTTATAGGGCTAAATTCTGCTCCTATGAGCCAGCAAGAGTTTCACCACTTTGTAGCATGCCACAGAGAATTAGATGACAGTTTGCACAAACGGACTTTGAGGAAGGATTAAAACAAGCAAATAAACACATAGCAGTCATTTTAGCACTCTGGTTTAAGCAGAAATATTTGAAAGCATAAAAGCCAGTTAAACCCTATTGGAAATCAATAGGAGCTGAGGAAATACAGCACTCGTACCCTTGGAAAGCTGTCCTTTGACTATGGATTGCCCTAATCTCTGCTTTCTCTAAAATAAGATCGAAACGTAAGGCGCCCATTGATTTTGCAACTGTCCCCAGATTTCCTATCTAGCTGTACACCTCGTTCATCACGCTGTGTACTTCACCCTCTCCGGGTGAATCAGCTGTCACTAAAGCTCGGATTTAAATCTTACTCTAACGTTGCCACGCTGTTCGGAGTAAATTTCAAGATACAAGAAAGAGGCTATTTCAGCCCCGGTTTTGTATCCACCGCCACCTAAGTCAGTCTCCGCGTATATCTGAAACACTCTGTGCTCTCTACCCGAGAGCCACACGGGGCACCGCCGGCTCTCCCCGTTGCCCGCAGAGATTTCTTTGACTGATGACTTGAAGCAAAGCAGCGGCTTCCTATCGCCAACGACGCTAACCCGGGAGAGAAAAGCCAAAGCACGGCAGAGCGGCCAGGAGAACTTTTTAGGAAGCTCCCACCAGCCGACATCTGCCTGGCAGGTTTTGTTTCGCGGGGGGCGCGGGGCGCTCCAAGTTCGCTCCCAGCTCGGGCAGCCCCGTC